AATATGAATTATGGTCTTGTAGTAGAAAATAATGCCTAGTGGACTTTTAAGGTGTTTGGAAATGTTTACTCATCTAGATGGCTTTGCTTCCAGAATTTTGGTGTCTGAATTATTACTATCTATCTATCATCTATCTATTTAACTTTCTGTTTAGTTGCCACTTACCTCATTTTGGTGCCATTATTCAGTGCCATTATTTGCTAGGGAAGAGGACTTGTCTATAAGGTGGAGTTAATGAGTGAAAGCTTAAAATCACTGTGTAGCCAAGTTCATTAGCTTCCAAAGGTGTGTTATTTTCTAGCTATTTTATTGTAGATTCTCGGCAAATCTAATTCATTCTCTGTCTCTTGCCTCTTGCCTCTCATCTGTTGTCTCTCATCTCTCTCTGCTCTTACTCATCTTTGTGATTTTCTCTGTGCCCTCCATACAAAAGCAGCCTCATGTTTGATGTCGAAATATATAACAGTGTGTGTGTGTGCACTGAACATACACATAGTAAGCATACACTATAAAGAAGAGAAGGGGTTGTCAGTTTATTATTAAATAATAGGAAATTATAATTGTATTTATATACTTGATGTGACAAAGAGAGTGAGAGTAAGAAAAAAAATCAAGACAGACTTTAATAAAACATTTTAGAATGATGACAGTAATAAAATTCAAATTCTGAAATTTCAACTATAAAAGAACTCAATGTAGAGATTGAAAATGATTTGAAGAAATATTTGACTCACACTATATTCTATGATAATTCCAAACACATGAACTAAGAGCTTTAGGCCATGAAATTTAAATGCCTTTGAGGAAAAAAAAAAAAAGACTAATGTAACTTATGCTCTTTAGAAAATGATCTTTAGATAATAATCAAGAATTGTTTGAAGCCAGGGACCAATTTTGTTCATCTTTGTCTCTCATTCACACCTAGTCTAATTACACGTGACAGATGCTCAAAAAAAGGCTTATTAAAAGAACTAGAGGCCCGGTGCATGAATTCATGCACCAGTGGGGTCCCTTGGCCTGGCCTGCAGGATTGGGCCAAAACCAGCTCTCCAACATCCCCCAAAGAGTCTCAAATTGCGAGAGGGCAAAGGCCAAGCCAAGGGACCCCACCAGTGCATGATCGGGGTTGGGGAGGGATGTGGGAGGTTGGATAGCCAGGAAGGGACTGCAGGAGGGCTCCAGGGCATGTCTGTCCTATCTTGCTCAGACCAGATCAGCTGGACCCCAGCAACAGGCTATCTACTGGTCAGAGAGTCTGCCCCTGATGGTCAGTGCATGTCATAGTGAGTGGTTCAGCAACCTTAGCATATCATTAGCATATTATGCTCTGATTGGTTGAATTGCTGACTGTTTGAATAGCTAACTTAGCATATTAGGCTTTTATAATATAGGATGATTGTCAATCTTGCAAAAAAGTCAAAATTCGAAGCTGGCAGCCTGGCTCTATAGATGAACATAAGCATAGGTATATTGATAAATATATGGGGGGAAATCTTCCATTGCCTATTCAATTAGTTGTAAATAAAATAACTTCATTCCTTGCAAAGATATTTTTTATTTTCAAGTCAAATGAATCCATAAGACAGTCTCTGCCTTGAAAAGTTTCTTTAAAGAAAGCAATATGTGTTACACCTAAGGCTATTTATTTCTTCAATATTTTGCAGTAGAACCATTTAAAATATCAAATAAAACTTATAAAATTTCATATTATTTTCATGTTTGTTATCTACTTTCATTTAAAATATTGTAGTTGCAATTTGTAGATTCTAAAATACACAATTTTACTTCCTTTTAGTTATCTTCTTTTTAAAAGAGCAAAATCTTCATAAAAGAGACAAAATATGATTTTCCAATGGCTATAAAGTTAATTAGTGGTAACTTTAAAAAAATATATATATATATTTCAGGATTTTACATTCCAAATAAAACTTCTATTCTGCATGCTAAATTTACTTAGTTATTATGCTTGCTAAATTCACTTAGTCATTCACTAGGTGCACTGATCCTTTCAGAGTATTATTTAGTGATAAGGAATTTATGCCTAAATTTTTCCATTAACTCTGTACATTCTGATTTTGTGAGTAACTTGGTTCAAAACCTTTGTACTCTTTTTACAAGCAATTAAATGTCTGAATACCAGGATAAGTCCACTGTTCAAAGGTTTTGTTTTTAAAATAGCTTAGGCAAGAAGTACAACAGTATACTTGTTTAGGATATATAGTTTGAAAAACTTTTATCAAAACGAATTAAGTAACACATTTTACATTGCCTGGAAACTAATAAATGAACAGATGACAGTTTTACCTTCCCAAAGTACCACACATTTCCCAAATATAACATTAATCTAGCCTGTAACCTCTTGTTCAGTATTTATAGTCACTGCTAATCTCTAAACCCTACAAAAGCAAGGATGTATTAATACCATTTTTTGCCTGATTTACAATACTACAAAGAAGTGTCTGACACATAATAGTCAACCCAATAAATATTGTTGAATGGAACAAAATTGAATAAGTGAAGCAGAATGAAAATCCTTCCAATCATTTTGAAAAATATAATAAGGAATTTCTACATGTGAAGGAAATTAAAACAACACCAAAGAAAATTAACTAAAACCCTTGATAATATTTTATGTATGTGTTATGTATGTACACACACAGATATTGACAGACACATGTGTATGCATGTGTCTATTTTGTCATAGAATTTGTAATGTAATAATAATAATAGCAATAATAAATAATATAGATAAACATTTGAGTACTTACTACATGCCAGAAACTATGTGTTTTACTCATATTAATTTATTTTTCACAACTGCCTTACTAGATAAGTACATTTTATCCTTATTTCATGGAGAAGGAAACAGGAACTATTCTATAGGTACTATAAAATAAATGGAAAGCAATGTCACCCTTACAGTTTCTTATATGATTACCAGAAAGAAAGAAGAGTGGGAGTAGGGGATAAAAAGAGGGGATAAAAGGAGTGTGGCAGGAAAGAGAAGTTAATTTAACTAACTAATTATGTCCTCGAAAGTGTGCATAGAGTGGAAATAATGATAGGGAATGAAGGAGAGGAACCTTAGAAATAACTAGCATTAAAAAACTCTACTATGCTTCCTGAGATCAAGGCTTGATTTCTTCAAGATGTTCTTTTCTATTTGCTCTTAATTATTACACAGCTCTTATACTAATAAACTGTATTTGGATTCCAATAAACATTATGTGAGTAAAATGATAAATAAACACAATAAAATAATAAAATACAATATGTGGTATAGTATAAATATATAAATAAAATATAACTAAGTAAATATCCAATAAATAAAATAAATATTTTATAAATATAAAATACCATAAATAAATTAATTGACATAATAAAAACTATCAATCAGTAACATACAAGTTAAATAAATATAAATTGAATATAAAATATTACAGATACTCTTATCATAGACCTGACAATGTTTATGTAGTGACTTTATAATAGAATATGAATTGTAAAATAATATTAAAAGTGTAAAGAAACAAAAAATCAATGATTTTACCACTTGAAGATAAATTTGTTCAGAAATCAATTTATGTACTTCAAGTAATTTATGGAAAACATAAAATATACTTACATGATTTAAAATTAAATTACAATAGAATAATGCAGTATTTTCAGTGTATGGCATTTTTATTTGCCTATTAAGGAAAAATTAGTATAATTCACACGTTTTTAGAAATGTAGTTCATTGAGTTGTAGCAAATACATATACCCCTGTACCCAACACCATCATCAAGATCTGGAATACTCCCATTATCCCAGAAACTCTCCTTGCATTCCTTTTTAATCAATACCTCCAACGTGTGGAAAGTGCAGTTTTGATTTCTATGGCAATAGATTAGTTTTGTCTATTCCAAAACTTCATATAAAAGGAAGCACACAGAATGTGCTCTTTTCTGTCCTGTCTCTTTTGATCAGCATAATGTTTGGAAATTCATCCATGTAGTTCCATGTTATCAGTAGTTTACACTGCTGAATAGGGTCAAAATTTGTTCATCCAATCATATACTGTCATCTAAAAGGGATGTTTTCAGTTTGGAGCAATCATGAAAAAGCCTTCTCTGATCATGTTCTTATGTATTTTATGGCTATATGCCTTTCAGGACTTTAAGATAAATTTATGCTGTTTGGTGCCACTGATTTTAATTTCTTACAATAGCAATAGGAGATTAATACATTATTCTAATAGCCAATTGGTAAACACAACCCACCAAACTGCAACAGAAATTCATGTTAATTTAACTGTAATCCCCAAAGTTAAGATACCTTAAGTCAGACGTTTCTTCTAAATGCAGTTCTTTTTGTTTTGTTTTGTTTTTGTCTTTATTTCAGGATAAAATTTACATGGCCTGGGACCCTCACTTTGACAATGCTGTATTTTATCTTTTTTCTTTTTAGTAAATTTACTTGGATGACACTGGTTAACAAAATTATGTAAGTTTCTGGAGTACAAATCCACAGCACATCATCTGTACACTGTATTGTGTGTTCACCACCCCAAGTCAAGTCTCTGTCCATCACCATTTATGCCCCCAAACCCTCCTCTGCCACTCCCAACCCCCTGCCCCTAACAATCACCACAGTTCTTAAATAAAATGGGCAAAAAGATGTGTATTTGTTTAGGAAGCAAGCATGAAAAACTAGCAAGTATACTTTAGTTTTTAAAATAAGCAACTATTATTGATATAAATGTTTCCAATCACCTGGAATATCTGCCACTATGAAACTTGTTCAATGTTATAAAAAGGAGGCTATAACTAACATGGTGATAAAACTGTTCTGTGATTCCACTGCTCTTCAGACAAGTCTGTGCAGCAGCAGAACCTCTCCTTCCATTGGCAATAAACACCATGCCAGTTCCCTGGACGGCTCACACCTAATTCTCTTGTGCAACAACTTGTGCTGCTCCCACTCAAACGACAGGAAGGGCCACCCACGAATATTTATGCATCGCTCCTTTTCCCATTTACACTTTGTCAGTGGAATTAACATCTCCTTCACTGAACCAATCGTATAGCTGAACAAGAATATGTCAGCTGAAGGAGTTTTCTGATCTTGGGTCTCCAATGTCAGCAAACAGTAAGGTACATGCCGTTGATCCAACACTGCTTTATATATATATATATATATATATATTATGTATTTTTACTTCCTTGTGTCAAGAAGCAGGTAATGCTCTACCAAGAATGTAGACTAACTGGTTTGATTAGTTTGGTGTATTTATAAAAGATTTCATGAAAGGGAAGAGTTTCGGTTTTATGAAAACCTACATGTCTAATGCTTCAGTGAGATACTGAAAAATACACGAAAGCGCAGCAATTTCATTGACTAGGGAGTCAAAAGGGTGGTGGAGAGATGAAAATTGGCTTTGTTATAACAACACAGCAACCTCTGGCTCTGAGTAGGGAAATGCTTTTATTACCAAGTTATTATATCCTGGTTCATAAAACTGTGCGTCAGTTATGGAGCTAAAAATTTCTCATATATTTTTATCCCCAAGATAAATTTTACAAAACAGAGGTTATAGTAATTTTCCATTTCCATGTATATCTGAGAGTCAGGGTCCTAGAAAAAGGAAAGGCATTTCTTACATGCTGGTATCAGTCAGTTCTCTCTCTTTTTTTTTTCCTTGACAAATCACTGTCCCATTAAACCTCTGTGTATGAAGTGCCTAATGTGGGCATTATTCTGAGGTGCCAATCATAAAAATAGCATGGGACCCATGCCTAGCTTGAAATATGCCTTAAAGGGACAAGTAAAATCAAATAGATATCTTGAGGGGTCAATAGATGAATAAGTGCTGATGGTGTAATTTACTGCATGGTAATTATAGTTAACAAGACTATATTATATATTTGAAAGTTGTTAAGAGAGTAGATTTTAAAAGTTCTAAACACATGAAAAATTGTAATTATGTGAGGTCATGGATGTATTAACTAGCATTATTGTGGTAATCATTTTGCAAAATATACATACTTCAAATCACCACGTTGTACACCTTAAACTTAAACAATGTGATATGTCAATAATCCTATATAATAAAAGGGTAATATGCAAATCAACCGAATGGCAGAATGACTGGTTGCTATGTCACACACTGATTACCAGGGGCAAGACACTTAACGCAGGAGCTGCTCCCAGCCTGCAGGCCCCAATTGCCTAATGGCTGACAGAGAACTGGGGGTGAAGGGTGGCAGACTCAGGCAATGCCAGGCTGTTGCCCCACCAGTCACGCCACATACAGAGGACAACTGGCAGCAGGGGGCGGGGCTGGCAAGCAGGCTGGAACAGCCAATCTCTTGGCCTCTCCCCTGACCAGCAGGCTCTGATCCCTGCCGCTGACAAATGGGGAACCTGGTGTAGGGGCAGGGCCAGCTGTGGGCAGCTAAGAGAAAAGGCCCTGATCACAGGCCAGGCCTAGGGACCCTATCTATGCACGAATTTCATGTGTAGCACAATAAAGCTAGAAAGAAAGAATCAACAAAATCAGTTGTGAATGATTTGGGGGAGGTTACCTACAAATTTTAAAAATACACATATGTAAAGACCACACTCCCCCCCCCCCCCCCCTACATCAAGTGTCATAATTAGCCAGGCTTCTTAAAGGGTGACTAAATCTTTCAAATTTGCCCATAAGTCCTAGTTCTAAGACTAAAATTTCAAGGCCCCTCAGTCCCAAGCAATCTGGTACAGATGATCACCCCACTTATACGTGACCAGGTTCAAGTATGTGTAATCTGAAAATACTCATTGGTTTTTTCATGTATGCCTAGCACTTTGTAGGGAAGCATGTATGAGGTCATTATGGTTCAAACCAAGAGTTTGGCCATTTGACAAAGTAACATATACAGTGAAGTGGCATGTTTCAGTTTATTTACTTCTTTATTTGTAAAAGTAAGAAGAAAATTCAATGCCTTATACTAGTCATATAATAAAAAAAAAAATGCAAACCTTCAAATCATCTTGTTCTCCATTAAAATCCCTCCATTTCATTTTTAGTATCACCTTTTTGTCTACTCAGGCCACAAACGTCAGCTGAACACAAGCAATTTATAATTGCTGAGGGAACAGTAACTATGAATTATTTCACTTTGGGGCCTTTGTCTGTTTTTTAGGCGACAGTGCAAATGAAGGAATCTGCTTCCATACTGATTTATATGAAATGTTTCAGAACATGAGGGAAAGGTATTATATCACTTGCTTTTTCAAAAATGCTGCTGTTAAAGTAATTTGGAACCTAACACAAACACATTGACTCAACCCAAGCATGGTATATGTTAACTAACATAATAGCTCGTGTGCTATCATTTGCTTTTCAAATTTGCACAACTTTATTGACAGGATGAAATGAGGTCTTCATTTCAATGTGGCCACTCGGGATTTCATATTCATTTTTTTTCTATATGTATGGTTTTTTTAAACTTTGAAAATTTTATTAATATTTCATATCCCACAGAAGTGCACTGAAGGTAAGCATTAAGGGAGAATAAATAAGAGGGTTGGGTGTGTGTGTGTTTTCCGATGGGAAAGAAATTAAGTCTTCTGCCTTTCCAGTGTTATCTTCTTTTTTTAAAGTTTTATTTCTGTTCATTTTGATTTCACAGTGTGACACACTAATATCCTAAACTCCCTTGATCTCTTGCCTTTCATTGCTCTACTGTGGCAAATAGCTAACCAACAACTACCCTTCTGTTTTATACCTGAGCTGATAAGTACTTCGGGGGAAGGTCACATTATTGGGCAAATGGCTATCACTATGTGTGTGTGTTCAGCTTCCTCAACTTAGCCCTCAGTATGGTTACAAGGCCTACCCTATCATTGTAGTCATTGTACACAATTCCTTCTTATGATACAATAATTCTTTCTCTACATTTCTCAAGCATTTTATGTCTTCTTATCTCCACTCCCTCTCAGCAGAGAACCTCAAGTAATTCCCCAAATTTTCAGAAAAATAGAAGCTATTAGATGAAATTTGCCTCAACTTATGGTCTTGAAACCTACATAGATAGTCAAATCTTCTCCCAAATTTTACTGTTTTCATCACTTTGTTGATGTTCTTCAGAAGTTAGCATGATTAGTTATTTTTCTTTTCTATCATCAGTCCAATATGTGTATGCATACACATATGTATATAGGTATAAATGTGTGCATATATCTATACTAGTACATGTATTTTTGCATTTAAAATGCTAACTACCATTCCATTTCCTAACTTCTTTCAACTTCTTTCAACAACAAAATTTCAGTGTTGTCTATATGCATATCTCATTCACCTCTTAACTTTGTATTCTAACATTCCACTAAAATTGATCCCACCAGGTCACTAATAATTTAGACAATATACTTTTAAAAGTAAATTTCACTAAAGTATACTTTTCAGTGTGCATTTCATCCTATCTCTTAGCCTCATCCAATAAGGATTTTTCTTTTTTTGAAACAAAGATTTCATTTTTTTTCCTTCTATTTCTCTGGCCATTCTAGTCTCCATTATTCACACCCCTCCTAGTGGCAATGAGATATTGGAATTCCTTGGGACTTTGCCCAGTGATGTCTTCCTAGGCAATCACTAACATTTTCAAAACTTCTATTACTATGTATAACTCGCATTCAAATCTGTGTCTGAGTCCATGAATTATTGATTCATCTGTTTACACAGCCTTTCCATTTGGGTTTCTCATGAACACCTAGAACTCTGCTTTCCCAAAGATTCCTGCTCTCCTCGTTACTCATGGACATCCTCGAGAACACATATTCCTCCTCGATCCCATCTTCACTTTGTACAGGTAGTAGACTAGTCCCTGGTGGCACCAATCCAATACATGGCTCTGCTGTCTTCTGGGTGCAATAATATAATCTATAATAATAAAAGTGTAATATGCAAATCGACCAAATGACTGAATAGCAAAATGACAGTCTGGATGACAATCCGGACGACCATGCTCTGATACCCAATGGTGTCAGGACAGCCAAAGTTGGTGTGATGTGATTGGTCGGGAGCCTGGCCATCGCCCCATGATTGCCCTGCAGAGGGAGGTCCAGACCACTGGCCAGTGGGCAATAGATTCATTTGAGGGGCTCCATGATCACCCCAAAGAGGGAGGCCCAGGCCACTGACCAGCGGGCTATGGCAGATGAGTGGGGCCTCCTCTGAATGGGACAATCCATCACAGAGCCTTGGCTAGGTGAGCAGTGCCTAACTCTTTGAGGTGATGATCGCAGAGCTCCCCGACTGTGAGGGGGCATAGAAACACACACACCCCCAGTGCACAAATTTTGTGCCCAGGCCTATAGAGACAATATAATATCCTTCTACTTGGTCTCCTACATCTAATATTGTCACTCTCATGCCACCACTGACCCACTCTCCTCATAGTTGCCAGCAAGATCTCTTTAAAACCATAATCATGATTAATGAAACTCCTGTCATGGCCCTTTGTAACTTGTTAATAAGATTAAGTCCAAAATCCTTAATAATCTTTTTAAGACCTTTTAAGAATCAGCCCAGAATTGTTTCTTGCTCTTTTCAAATGGTTGTCTCTTCAGCCCTACGAAGCTTTTTGAGACCTTTGAACACACAGTGCCTATCTCCCTGAGTCAACATATAGGCATTTGCTCCTCTTTCCTATGCCAACATCCTCTACGTGTTACAAATTAATGATCTCCAGCTCAAGGAAGTTTCCCTTGTTATCCCCACTCCCTCAGATTAGGACTTAAGTATCTCTGTATCATATCCTGGTGCATGGTCAGGGTTCAGAAATATTTGTTCATTGACTTTTTAATTCACTCTCAGTTCCTCAAGACCTGACAGCTACTAAAACTTGATGTGAATCACGAGCAAGTTAAGACTGTTCACCCTAGCAGGTGCCCATAGTCAGTCATATGCACAAGAGCTACTGTAGTTGGAAATGGAGAACTCCCTACCACCCAGCTGTCAGAAAAGGCCCATGTTAATTTGTGACATGGCCAATTGCTGTCAAAATTCTCAGTTCCTCCTTCTGCTGAGATGTGGTAACTAGGCAACTTCAATAACATTTGGAATCCAACCCACAAATATCTCACTCACTCCAAGATGGGATAAAATGTCAAGGTAATTGGCTTCCCTTGAGAGATACTCTCCTAAGGCTATGAATATGGGCCAAATGTCTGCAAAGGAATGTTTATAACTGTCCATATTTTAAGCATGCATGGGTATATTGTATTGACTTAATTATGTGGCATAGTGTGACTCATACAATACATGAAAAACATGGATTTTCCTACTATAAAATGAAGTCCATCCTATATAATAAAGAGGTAATATGCAAATTGACCATCACTCCAACACATAAGATGCTCACCACAAGATGGCTGGCAGGGGAAGGCAGTTGTGGGCAATCAGGCCAGCAGGGAAGGGCAGTTGGGAAGGACCAGGCCTGCAAGGGAGGGCAGTTGTGGGAAACCAGGACTGCAAGGAATGGCAGTTGGGGGGCCATCAGGCCTGCAGGGGAGGGCAGTTGGGAGAGACACCAGCCCTGCATGGGAGGGCGGTTAGGGGGGACCATGCCTGCAGGGAAGGGAAGTTGGAAGGAACCAGACCTGCAAGGGAGGGTAGTTAGGTGTGACGAGGCTAGCAGGGAATAACAAATTTAAATGAAATAAATCAAATGTCTTGTGCATACACACGCTGACTGAAGAAACACGCCTCAGCAAATAACCTGACCACATAATGATTTTAAAACAGAAGCAACTATTGCAGCAGGCTTATTTCAGACAAACCTTTATCTTTTCCCAAGTTAGCTGGAGATTGAACATATTCACTAAGAGGCGCTCTGAATGTCACCAACAGTAATATAATTAAGTTATCATAGATTTTAAAAGATGAATAATGGCTACTTAATGCTCTGGACCCTCTAAATTCTCCAGTGTGAAGTGACAAGTTCTTAACGTTTATTTTTTTTTAACTTGTGAATGTATATGTAAAATTGTAATGAAAAAGTGGTAAGCCTAGTGAAAACAGTGTTTTGATACATAATTAAAAATTCCCAACCAGGGAATTGCAGTGATATGGTGGAGCTGGATGAACAGAGGAGTCATTTTTTCCTAGCTATTTATTAAGCAACCTAGATAATCAACTATTTTTCTATTTCCCAATTGTTTTCTTGCCTGAAATTATAAGCTCATTCTAACTTTCCCAATACTTTTTATTAATACCAAAAAAGTGTTTTATTCCTAACAATATAATATGTTGTTCTTTCCTAAATCTATCCAGCTATTAGACCAAAGCAAGCTCATTGTCTCATATGATTATTATTAGTCTCTAATGAATTTTTAGCCTGCGATTTGCTCAATAAAGCAAACACATTGCTATAAACACAATGATTATATATTTCTCAGTCTCACATAAATATATATTCATGGTGCATTCATCAGCATCTAAAAATGTAATAAAATCTCTTAACATATAATGAAATATTCAAATATTTAAATACAGATTCAAGTTTTTAAAAATCTTCTCCAATGTATTCATGCAAATTTAACAAAAGTTCTACTCTGTAGAATAAATATATTTTGCTAAATCAGTTTAACATAGACAAATAGCACGAGTCAAATTATCAGATAGAAATTGGGGCATGTCTATCAGATATCAGATGGCAGAATCATATCCAAGAAAAGTTTGGTGCCAAGTAATTGAAAAATTGCTTAAATGCATTTCAGGCTTTGACTTCAGAGCAATTATCCAGAAGTTCAGTCCTGGGCCAATTACACAGTATCATACTTGGAAAATAGGAAACTGCCTTAAGAGGAAGTTGTTACTGTCATTTATAAGCTATCTCAGACAGCTCATTTAAGGACAGACAAGGTATTTTGTTGTGAAGCATCTGTATTGTACTGGAAAGCAACATAGTCAGAAGAAATGGAAATGGATCTTGGCCCTCTTATGTACTATTCCCATCTATAATCTGGGACAAGTCATTTAATATTCCAGCCTCAATTTTGTCATTTTTTTTAAAAAATGGGGAGCAGGGGGGGTGCTAGAGTACCCACTTCAAAGGATTGCAATAAGGCATATAAGATTATAAGTGGGAAAAAGTTCTCTGTTCCAAAGGACTACTCATATAAGAGATGATGGTTATTATTCTCCATATGATAGTGCTTACCATAATATTAGTGAATTTATAACCTTGAATGTTGAGTTTTGAAGATCCACTGAAAGACCTATAATTTCTTCCTCTTGATGATATGAATGAATCAACATATATAGCACATCTGAGAACTGTTAAGTAGTAATCTGGAATGAGATGGGTTTATGTCCAAATTTTGAACTCTTACTTATCATTACAGAAGACAAAACCATCCAATATTAAATCCATTGGACAATTTATTTGTGCTTACAGTTTTGCTTTCTTTATATAAGAGATGTATCCTGAAATGTTAAACACAAAGTGACTCATATTTAATTATTTTTGGGAAAGAGTGTTACCTAGATTAAAGAAATGCTATAGTAAATCTTTTGCAAAATAAATCCTTCAGGTAAAAAAATAATAATAATAACCTTGCAAATTTGAAATTTTTTTATGCCAAATATTCTAAAAGTAGGAATATAACTTCTTTAGGTTTTTTTTTTTTTTTTTTTTACTTTAGGGCCTCACTCATGAGCTAGAAGTGTCTACATTAGATCAAGAGATGATACAAATGAAGAATGAAAACATCATTTGAAAATTATCTTCTTGAAATCACTGTCTTGGGTGAGATGATATTCTGTCCATTTCTAAACACCCATTTAACAGCGCATTTCCCTTTTGCACGTGGTTTCACAGCCACCCTTGAATCAGAGCACTGGGTTCTTTGTATCATAGCAGGATCTGTGTTACAGATGCTGATGTTCAGGCACTGATATAACTACCCACGCTGGCCTGTTTGCTCTTTTAATTATGTCCAATCACAGACTCTGGCTCTTGACTCCTTCTATTTGTCTGAATGTTTGTTATTTTTATTGTTCACTCTTTGATTGTGCTCCTAATGGCTAGAAGAATTCATATGGATGGCCTCTTACCTCCTACCATTTTCTTTGTCCTATCTTCAATCCCTGACCAGTTAGATCCATATTTAGAGCCAGGTAAGGCAATAGCCACTCCTCAACAGCCCTGACTTCAGGCTCTCTTAATCACTCACATTCTAGAACTTCCTGTTGGCTCTGGAGTAAGGATTTATGGGGTCTTAACTTTTTGTAAAGGATTTTCTAAGTCAGGTTTACTTCTAGCTAAAAGTGACAGCAAGCCAACAGAAAACTAGTTGAACCAAAAAGAAGGAAAAAAAAAAAAGGAATTTATTGGAAGACTTATAACTACACAAAAAAGCAAATATGGCCCAGGGGCCAATTGGGAATAGAAACTTTAATGTCACCAGAAAACACTACATGTCTTCTATCCACATGTTGGCTTTACTTTCTTATGAAAGGTTTTCCCACTAGCAGAAAATATAGAATCTGGCAGCAACTCCATCTTCAATCTTTCATTGTCATCACCAGAAAATGATTGACTCCTGCTGTCTCTTTTTTCCAAGTTAAAAAACTATTTTGTCCAGTTTGAGTGAAGAGTTCATTCCCAGACCCATCAGCTAAGGTCAGGCAGCGAGTCCTGTCACTCTGGATTTATTTACTCATCTCAGATCCTTATGTGTGGCTGAGACTTATAAGAAGTGCCAGCTCCCATTCAGACTAGATGGTCAAAATTGGAGAAAGACCATTTCCCAGAAGGAGGGCGTGAGAGTGGAGAAACATTTTCCAGGAGGAGGGAAAAATGACCGACAGACAGGCAATGACTGTTCATTGGGGTGTATATCCAGTTGGCAGATTATCCTTTCCCTTTTTTTTTTCTTTTTTTTTTTTTCCTATTTTCCCCATTAACCTCTGCTTTTGATTTGTATTTTAAAAAAATTTAAGGTCAAGGTGACTAATACTAAAAGCAAATTAACCTGAAAAAGCTTTGTAGGAAAATTAACACTTTTTTAGTGTTAATTCTTTCCTCCCCCAAACACCCCTGAAATGAGATATCTTAATTCCCAGGTAAAAACATTAATACTTAGGAATAATAAATAACTGCTTCAAGATGATAGAATTAGCAAGGGCTACAATAGAACTGAAGAGCTGTACATATCCCATTGGAAAGAGGGAAATGCAATGGGGCTAAGACAAGTTTAATTCATGATGCCAATTGTGAGGAAGTAGTATTTGGTATCCAGGACTTATTTTTACACATCGACTTCACAAACTAGACTTGCTGCTTTGCAGGGATCAAGTCCAAGAACAAACTCAGGCCATGTTATTCCATTGTTAGTTCAAGACATTTAAGTAAATAATTGCTCTCCTTTCTTTTGGGGGAAATCTATTTTACTTACCATCATAGTATTAATAAGGAAAGTTGAGATTAGTATGTAGATCTAGAGAAAAAAGGCCGAGGAGACAAGTTGTCCTACTGACTCTATCCCATGCTAAAAAGGTGTTCTCATATCATTATATGATAAGAAGACTATGTTGGGACTTAGTGGAAAGTCTTTTAAAAAATAAACAGAATGATTTTTTTTCTAGAATATAATCTTGATATAATGCATTCTGAATTAATGAAGGTGTTAGTCAGCTATTGGACAATTCCTGGGCCTTGAGTTCTTGTCAAATACAATTGCAACCCCAGTATCAATTGATAAAAGATGATCATACATATGAAAGATGAGAAGATAGTCACTCTGTATCCACAGAATACAGTTGAAGCCCTTCCTTCCATTGTACAGGCTTTGTTCTTGGCTCCAGGCATACAGATATTTGTCTGTTCTCTCAACTCACAGTCAAGCGGATGTACGTTGATGCACCTCTGAGTTCAAAACTTTAAATGAATTCTGGAGATAACTTTGTGATGTGAGTACCAAGCATGCAGTGTACTAGGCATGGATCACAGGCTTTATACAATAACTAACATTACTCCCATGCTATAGGTGAAGGAGTCATCTGAGAGCCAAAGATACAGACATTGAGTACCTGACCAAAGCAGGATTTGAGTCTATCTGCCCCACTTTGGAGCTCACTTACTTATCCTTTTCCTCCAGGCTCCCATGTTCAAACTGCAAGTTGGAGAAGAAGTCTTGTCTTTCTCTTCCTTTCCTCCCCTTACACATTTGGAAGAGATCTGGTAAATAAATCTGGGCATGTGTTGATTGACCCAAGTACTGACACCCAATAGAATTAATTTGCTTTTGACATTTCACTTTATATTTGTTCAAGTTTATATTTAATTTATGATAAACCTGTAAAAGAGCATGGCCTGAAAAAATTGAGATAAAATTAGAAATGTTTCCCCGACCTAATTTTCAAGACTGAAATTACAACGAAATCTAAAGAGTCAATTTAGTTTTTAAAAGAGTTCTGAGATAGAAAAATATTGCTCATTTGAACAGTAATATGCAAAGAAATGGCTCGGATGTAAGAGTAACTTCTTGACTTTAGCCTTTTATTCTTGGTACATTCTATTTTAAGAAGAGTTGCAGAATAGAGAGAGTTCGTCCACCCAGCACTAGCAGAGCCAAACACTAGACACTAAGAATTACAGTGGAGAAATATTGTCTATTTTATTATGAATGGCACCCCCCCTCTCCCTGCCCAGAATGGGAAGTGAATGCTCCAAAGGCCAAACTCCCCAGTGGTGTGTAGGTTATAGATTACATAGAGCAAAATCACAAGACTGTAAGTTAGAGGGTCTGCTGAGAGCTGATTTGCTGGAGGTGAGGTCTTAGGGACAGCTCTGAGGTCTTTTCTGGAGTCTCTCTGTCCAGTCTCATGGGAAAGTAGCTAGGGGTCCTTCCACCTTAGTGCTCAGGAGCTGAAACATAAATTAGATCAAGATGTGATCTTTAGCCTGCCAGAGGTTTGGACAGTGTCACCATTGTCAGGGCCAGCTACTGTCTTCTGCTGCCTCTGAGGGTTGCTAATTAAGGGGGAAGGCTAGTCTAGAAGGGGTATAGACAGTAAAAGAGATAGAGACAGAGACAGAGATGATTTCTAGAGAGCTAAGATTTAAAACTAAATTTAATCAAAGTCATAAGGACTCTGAGTTTCCTAGAAACTTCTCAAATGACCTTTACTGTATGAATTCTCAAATTTTTCTATTTTTTTTCCTCCCCAGGACATTCTGGTGTTACCTGGCAGTGTTTTTGATGTGCAAATCCTAAAACCTTTGAATAGAACTTTGCTATTTTTTATTTTAGCAAAACCTCCTGATTAATTTATGCTCAATCAACAACATGTACTACCTATTTTGATTATTTATCTTACATATAATAGGTGGGTCTGTATAACTTTCAGCAGTTTCAAAGATATCAATTCTTAATGGCTTTCCCTGGGAAGGAGTGAGGGGTAAATATTATAACCTCACTGTTTTCCCCTCTTTAGTTCCCTAGGGGTGCTCTCCAAGCATGGCACGAAGCCAGAGGGAAGTGGCAACAATCACATCGAGTAGCAATAACAGACCAGCCTCTTGGGTGCTGAGCAAGTTGGACAAGGTAGGAAATGAACGTTTGGAGAAGCAAATGAAAATAGTGGTGGAAACTGAGTTGACCAACACTCTGCTGTCTTGTACTTGCCCCTTTGTTGACCATCTTGCTGCTGCCTCTCTGTTGTACATGTCATCCTGTGCATGTTCTTTGAGGCAGGGACTGAGAATCTAGCTCTACCGTGAATCCGCTATACTCAACACAATGCCTGGTACATGACAGGAGCTCTATAAATATCCATTAAATGCTCATTCAGTTAAAGTTTTTTGGAGCTTGTGTTCAGAGAAAGGCACAGAGCACCTACACAGTAAATATTTATCGAATTCTCTCATTTGAGTGACTTCCTGAGCATAGACTCAGGCCTAGAGAAGCACACCTCTGACTAAACTCCATTCACAACCCCAATCTCCCAGTATAATAAATGTTCAGAGGCAGTCTTCTCGACTTCCGATATGCTCCAGAAAAGGCAGTTGCTTAATAGCAATCAATCAACAGCTTTAGTTCTTTGCAGTGACTATCAATGTGTCTTGTAAATTGCTGGCTTTCAACAAATACTGTCTTTGACAAAACTGAGTTGAAAGTTCCATTTAATTTAGATGGTGTTACGCATATAGTAAATGTGGATCCTAAGTGCCCCTCACCATCTGTCTCATTTCTGGAGTGAAAAGGAAGGAAATTGCAAGTGAGCATTGCATTGGGAGTCTGAACATCAGGACTTCCCTAGATATTAAAAAGGATATTACTGTGGGAACGCATGCAGCAGGAGATAAGACATAGCACACTCCCTCACCTTTGGCACTTTTCATTTTTTATGTAACTTGGTCTCTTGATGCTTAGAATAGGCTCAACTAAATACACTAGAATAAAACACCTTAGACATTTGTGACTTCAAATGTTGACAATAAGAAATGTACTGGCATCATGATTTTAGTCTCTGTAGACTAGACCAACAGCCTCCACTATAACACAACCCCCAAGTCTCAAGTAGTGCATTCAAGTTGCAGTGATATATCTATTATCATTATTACTCAAAACCCACCTAACAAATTTTTGCTAAACCTTGTTTAATTTCATAAAATAGTGGGTCTTAAGAAATTGCTATATAGATACTTATTTATGATAAGTCAAATGTAAAAAAGCAAATATTGGGTGATAAGACCTGTTTGTGGAATTTTAAAAGTCATAGTCATAGAAACAGAGAGTAGAATGGTAGTTGCCATGAGCATGAGTGTAGGGGAAATGAAGAAATGTTAGTCAAAGGATACAAGTTTCCAGCTAGAAGATTAATATATTCTGTGAATGTACAGTAGTTAACTTTCCTATATAATAAAAGGCTAATATGCAAATTGTCCCCTCGGGACTTAGACTGACTGGGAGTTCCACTGCTCACTATGATGTATATTGACCACAAGGGGCTGGCATGGAGCAAATGAAGGCTCTAGCCGGCAGCCAGAAGGCCCTGACCAGCACTGATAGCTAGCCAGGCCTAGGGGCTCTATCCATGCACGGATTTCATGCACCGGGCCTCTAGTAGTTAATAATTCTGTAATGTACACTTAAAATTTGCTAAGAGAGTACATCCTAAGTGTTCTTACCACAGAAATAATAGAAAAGTATGTAAAGTGATGGGTGTCTTATTTTGACTGTGGCATTTATTTCACAGCTATACATATACCAAATTATTACACTGTATATCTTACATATATACAATTTTAATTATCAATTATACCTTAAACCTGAGAGGAAAATAAACCTATCTAGGGAAATTATTCTAAAAAAAAAAAATCTTATTGATAATGACACAATAATCTAAATTTGTTACTTTTACCCAAATATTATTAGTTCTCCAAAGAAAGCTTTGTATACAGTTGTTTTATTTCCAAAGAGACCATTCTCTTTGCCTCTTGTTTCCTGTGACCTTTCTGAACTGTTTAAACTTACAGGTCTTGTGAAATGTCAGTTTTCTGGTGACAAATATTAGCTCCTATGCTTGCAGAAAATAACTTACTAATTTTCAGGACAGAGTTATCAGCAGCACTGCATCCTTTTCACACTGGGACTCATTTTACTCAGATGTACTAGAAAATCCTTTTATAAAATTTGAGAGATCAACCCTCCCTCAGTGCTGTGTCCCAGAGACAGACTCACACACACACAAGTGTCTCATATGTTACCTTGTGCTGCTAATGCCTCTGCCTCATTGATGCTTCTCAAGGCAATGGAGAGCAGGGTTTGGAATCATATGGAGCTTAAATCCCGGCACTGCCACTAGCAAGTAACATGGCCCTGGACAAGCTACTTACACTCTCTGTGTCTCAATTTCCTTGTCTGTAAAGTGAGGATAAACAGCATTGATGTGTAGGGCTATTGCCAAGATTAATGAGCTAATTCCAGCAAAACACTCTACATGATAAAATCCAGAGTCCCTTTTTTTTTTTTGTCTTATAACTCTGAGTTTGCTTGCATTCAGTAATTAGATGTAGCTATTGTAATTACAAGACAAGAAATGACTGGAGACGTGGCTTCTAGCCATGGGACTCCCTCACCCACGTGATCTTCCTGGCTTCCATGATTAGAGAACTGAAGAGACAGGGATGGGGTTCAGAACCAGTCCTTGACACTTAAATAGCTTAAATAACTCTTCTTAGATGTTTTTATTCAACATACTTTAAGAGCCTTAGATTGAATCATATGAAACTGCCAATGGTCTACATTGAGTAATTTCACACATTTGAATACCATGCCCCAGGCAAAAGGTTAAGGAAGCCAATATTAACAAAACAAACCTGGATTCTGCCCTCACAGAACTGATGATACAGGTGGTGGGGAAGACAAACAACATACTAATGGAAGAAAAAGAAGTGTAGGGGGAATGGCAGCAAATAGCATTTACCCATGAAACATACCCAAGGGGCAAGAGCCAGGAGTATTCAGAAAAACATCTCTCCTTATAGAAACCAAATGAATGGGTCATCATGGTTTGGAGGCCGTATTGCTGTAACAAATTACCACAAACTTAGTGTATTAAAACACAACCTATTTATTCCCTTACAATTTTGGAGGTAAGAATCCCCAAATCAGGTTTATTGGGCAAAATCAAGGTATAGGGAGGGTCAAGCTCCCTCTGGAGTCTCTAGAGAGGAATTTGTTTCCTTAGCTTTTCCATCCTCCAGGGCTCCAGTCCTTGCACGTCTTGGCTTATGGACCTTTTCCTCCAACATGATTTGAAGGACATATTACTGTAACTAATTACAGCATCTTGCCTCCGTGGTCACTTGCTTCTTCTGTTTGTCAAATCTCCCTGGTATAAGGATGCCTGTGACTGCATTGAGACTCACCTGAATAATCCAGAATAATCTCCTCACTTCACAATTCCTTATTTAATAACATTTTCAAAGCCTCTTTTGCCATATAAAGCAATGTTTACAGGATCTGGGCATTAGGACCTGGGTATCTTTGGGAACACTATTCAGTCTATTACCCAGGAGTTGAAGGCTAAGTAACTACAGGAGAGATCTTGGGGAATACAACAACCTAAACTGAGATCAGTCACATGCAGAACAAGAAAGGATATTGCCTAGGTGGATGGTCTTCACTCAACCGAGGAAACTGAACATTTCACTGGCATTAATAATAACAACATTAAGTGGTTACCACCACTTAGTTACAGCTTATTATGTGTCAGTACAATGTTAATATTTCACTGTATTTGAGCTTCAGGAAAACTTCTAATATCCTAACTAATTTTAACTTTTTTTTTCATAATTTCAATAGGTTTTTATGAAAGCAGATACACACATGTGTACATAAACATATAAGTTTGATTCTATAATGGTACTTCATGGCCTTATAAAGGCTTTCTTTTTTTTTTGGCATCTGCACAATTTTAAATTAGTTTTATTCAAGAGATATTGATGTTCCAAAATGTGCTCTATTACCACCAAAATTGTTCTGGATTGATTTTGTTGCTGGGACATTTTTTGCTCAGGGTCGGTATATTAACAAATATTTATTGAATATATACTCTCTTTCAGGTACTTGGGATACAGGGTTGACGAGATAGTACTTATCCCCTCAACATCCACTGTTTTTTGTTTTTTTTCTGGTGGTTGTTGTTTTTGTTTTTGTTGTGATTTTTGTTTTTTGTGTTTGGTTTTTGTTTTGTTTTTTTCTGGGTACATAGATAATTACTGCACAATGTGATTTTTTTTTTCCATAATAGAAGCAAATACTGAAAACTATAGAAGCACATGGTGAAGAAGACAGTTGGCCCAGTCTTAAGAGATTTGAGGAAGACTTCCTGGAAGAAGTGACTTTCAAAGTAGGATGTAAAGCAATAAGTAGGTGTTTGAAGGCAAACAGTCGGAAGAAGAAAAGTATTGCAGGTAGGGTGAAAATAATTACAAAAATCCAAAGAGAACATGAGATACTATCAGAATCTTAAATAGTTTAGTTAGGCCTCAGGCTAGTATGGGAGATGTAGTAAAAAATGAGGCCACCCACCATGCTAAAGGAAGATCATAAATGTTTATCTGTCATATTAAAGAATTTGGATTTTAGCCTCAGGGTGCTGACATGTGGATGAAGAAATGACACCACAGAATCTAATTTTTGATCAACTTTTTATTGTGGAAAATTAATTTTATCAACTCCCGTCCCTTGTAAGCCCACCCTAAATAACACATTATGTAAGTAAAGACAGCACACTTGCTTTACAAACACAACTTCTAAATTGTTCTCCTACCTCTGCATACCAGCCATTGCACACGTATACACTCCTCTCAATTGCTCCTAGGAGAAACTTTATTGACAATGAAAATAAGGCCAAGGGATCACAAACAGAAACTGACGAGGATTTTTTTTTTTTTTTAAGCAGTAAGTTATTTTAGTTCAAAATAGAAAGTATCCCACAGTCCTGTCCTGACAGAAATTTCCAGCTGAAAGCTACTTCTGAAAGGTACAAACAACTTAAACGTACACCTCGTACACCTTGCTGCCCCTGGCACATTCCCAGCTCCGTGTCAGTATTTTAGCCTTTTTCTCCTGCTCCTCGCTTTCCTTTCAGCCTCCATAAACCACTGACCTTTACTGGTTCTCCTCATTCCTAGCCTCCTGCCCCAACTGAAAGTAAATATGGAAGATCCTTATCGAAGAGAAGAAAGAGAAGCCAGTATTTACGGAGCAGTGGTTCAAGGCATGCTAGGTATTTCCTGCTATCTTTACTACATTCATTTATTGTGTCCTTATGTCAACCCTGTGGAGGCAGGTAAAACCCCTGTTCCGTACATGAGAAACCGAATCTCCTGGTGATTCATTTCTCCTTTCTCTGTGCCTGGCACTGAGACACTGGGCTAGAAGTTCGGGGTCACAAGGCGGGGTTGGGGAGGAATTTGAGGTCAGATTCTTTTGGCTCATGCCTTTTCAACTACATCATGAGCAGGGCTTGGCCCCTGTTATCGAGGTCTTTGTTGTCGGTGCCAGTGCTCACACGGCTTGCTGAGTTTCTGGTTCCCTGGCTTTCCCTCCCTGTGGTGTTCTCAGTTTATTATCTGCCCTCCCAGACTTTGGAAACTTCATATTACTTTGCCCTTGGGTGCCTGTAGCCTCCTGATTGCTGGCTGCTCACCTGGGTACACCCCATTTCCTCTTTGGTCTGTTCCCAGCTCTGAGCTACTTACTTGGTTTCAGGATCCGAGCTCCACTATGCACACCAAAACCCCTATCTGCCAAGCACAGCACAATAGCTTCCTGGTTTTTAAGCACCTGTAGAACTCTCCAGCTCGAGGCCTGCAGGTCTGATGTATCCTATTCTTCAACAAAAGAGCTTTAGAAACTACGGTCTGTTTCCTGCATCTCCTACCATTGACCATTTAAAAAATGTTTAGTTCTTTTTCCAAATTAAGTCATAAAAAGCTTTACAATTAATTAGTAATGCTCTCTGTTTTGATCTAATTAAACCCAGTTATTTCTTACAAACTTAATGCAAACAATACAACCTGGCTTAAGAGTA